TTTAAACACATAATAGAAATTAACAAGATTTTGTTTCTTTTTTTAAAAGATATCAAATATGAAATAACACAATCATATTGGTTGGTGAACCAAAGAATAAATCTTTTATTTTGGACCTTCTCTTAGAAAACCATAGCATTTAATTATACTATCATTTAGTTTTCATTAGGCCTGGACATTCGGGATCCCAATCGGGTTTCGGTTTTTTCCAATCGGGTGTCGGTTTTTCGGGTTTATCAAAATTAGCCCCATTTGGATTATTTGAAAGTTTGGTTTAGGATCGGTTCGGTTTTTATCGGTTTCGGGTCGAGGTTAGTAAAGCTTTAAAGAACCAGTATAACCCGTTATACTTTCGGATCCAGGTCCCAATCGGTACTTTGGTTTAAAAAATACATGATTTTGTACCTACTTTGTAACCAAAACATAGGTAAAATCGGTTCTTCGGATTTAAAGTACTTAATGTGTAACTATTTATAACCAAAATATAAGTAAAATTGATTTAAAAATAAGAAATGAACATCAAACGTGATCATTCAAAATCAAATGAAAAGTAAACATAGTTATTAATTGAAAGAAAACCAATTAAATGAAAACATAAAACGAAAACCAAGTTTAAAAAAAAATAAGAAACATTATTTAATAAAAACAAAACCTTAATCTAAAAATTTCAAGTTTCAACCACCACTTTCAACCATCAACCTTCATGTATTAGATAATTATTTTAGATGTTTAGTAATATCTTAAAGTATTTTGGATATATATTAGGAATTAATATCATATTCGGTACACGTTCTTAAATATTTTGAATGTTTTGGGTTCTATCGGATATCCATTTGATTCCAGGTTCGGTTCGAATAATATCCATAACCCGAAATACCATAAAACAAGATCCATTCGGTATTTAAGTCGGATTCGGATCGGTTCAGATCCATTTTTATCAGATCGGGTTAGGTTTGGATATTCGGGTTTGGTTTATTTACCCAGCCCTAGTTTTCATAATAAATATAATCAGCAATTTTCTTATTAATATCTTAATAAACTAACAGTATACTATCTTTAAGAAGAATCTCAAATTTGCTTACTATGCTAAAACAAAATATCTGTATAAAAACTATTTTAACATAATAGTCTAATAACATATATAATTATTTTGTATGCCATTAACTATTTTATAGGTACGTCAGTAACAAAAAAAAATCATATGTTGTGCAATCATAATATATGATTATATATACATATGATCGTGTATATTATTTTATACAACCATAACTTATGATTAATGTTATTATTCTGTTGAGGTCAAAAAAAATCACAATATGTGATTGTATTTTAATATTATTATTTTTTATCAAATTAATATCATTCTAAAACATATAATAGAATTAGTTTATAATCATATAACTAAATTAATTATATTTAATAATATATATTTAATATCATTCTCTAGAATGTTGTTCAAACATTAAATCTAAATCAAAAAACAATTTGACATATAAATAATAGAGAAAAATATAGCATATTTTTTACTGTAAAATGAATGCATTTACAAAAATAGACGTACTGATATATATATATAATCAACTAAATTACACTATTTTCATTTTTAACTTTAAAATTTAATTTGTTCAAAGAAATTAAGGAAAAAATAAATTTTCTATTTTATCTAACCAAAAACATCATTAACTATTCACCTAATCATAGTTCAACAAATAAAAACCCAAACGAGAGAATGGAAAAAGTTATATAAGAAGAAAAAAAAAGAATAAACTTGCATTGAAAATTGAAAATGTTATCTAATTTCAAATGAAAATAAATTCTCTAAAACGTCATATATTTAAAGCAAAGTGAATAAATTCTACAAACAGAAACACTAGAAAAAATTATACGTTGTATAGAATTATCAAATTTGATTATGTCACCATGCAAAACCGAAATACGGAACCGGCATAGTTTACAACTTCCACAATTCAATTTGAAAAAACATATGCGTGGTTGCGTGGATCAAAATCTAGTTTTAATCTTATTTAACGAGATAAAGTTTCCTTTAAAACAAAATAGTTATGGTATAGTGTGCCTAAAAACTATATTTGTCCACTGGAGCTTTTAAAATTGTTAACGGAAAAGGGCTCTTTCTCAACTTAAGAAATGATGTAAGTGCAGTGAGGTCAGAGTAAAATTATAGAAATAAATAATACACAAGTTTTTTCTTTTGGAATTCACTAGAATAAGAAAATCTTACACCAATATTTTCTATTACAAGAATCCTTTAGGATTACACTCACCCTATAGTCTAGACTTTAGTTTATCAGGATAACCTAATTCCGAGCTAAACTCCCTCTGAATCTAAAATTCAAACTTCCAACACTCTTGAAGTACGTCAGCAATTAACGCAAAGCAATAACACCAAAGACTTGATCACACAAGCATCAAACAAGGATCTATTGACTTTTCTTATTTTTGCAGAGACACTTTTCTTCATAAAGTCACATCCTCCTTATATAGAAACCAGAATTTGCTTCTTCCAAAACAATTTAACCAATTTTTTTGTTTCTCTTAAAAATAACTCTCTTGTCTTTTCTCTTTAAATAATATATTTATCTTTTATGTAAATATTTCAATAAATATATTGTTTCTTCTCCAAGCTCGACAAGTCCAGAGACATGACCATCACACAAACTCCAATTAAATTTACTTTTATGACACACATGTACTACCTCATGTATTATTTTACGCACTGATACAGAATATACACCTATCTTCAGATGATAATTAAAAGAGTATGTAATTCATATAGTAATGGACTAATAGTCAAAACAAATTCATAATCCGTCTCTTTTCTGATTTTATAGTTGATGAAAATTCTTAATTTATATTTCAAAATGTCATATTCATTCTCGTATCCTTCACATGGTATTTATTAGTGCTACAGAGAGAACTACAACAATAATACTTTCAATAACCACTTTGCAAGAGATTATGATTTTCAGCCGAGAAAATTTTCGTATGATTATTAATATAACTTTACATCACATATATATATAATGGTCACGTTGTGTAAAGTCTTCTCTTCGAACTTCTCTTACAGTCCCACAATCCCGATAGGATTCCAATACCGAAGTTGACCAATGACTTTTAAACCAGCGATGAAAGAAAATTAAGTAAGAGCATCTCCAAAAGATTCTCTATAACTTTAAATACAGAGAGTTTTGTTCTCTAAAAAGAAACTTAAAAACTTCAAATTTGAAATTTTGGGGAGTGAAACTTCATATTTGAAGTTTCACTTTTCAAAACTTCAGATTTGAAGTTTCATCTTTTTATTTGCAATTTGGTCCTTATATTTACATATCTTATTTAGGATTCTTAAGTATTTTCTTATTTATCATTTTAATCTTTAAAAAATTATATCTTACAAATTTTAAATTTATTTCTATAAATTAAGCTTTACACATCAAATTAAATAAAAAATTTAAATAAAATTTATATTATTTTAAAATTAGAATTAGACAACAATAATATTATAAAATAAACTTAATTAAAATTATTTTTTTAAAGTACATGAAAACATAATTATTATACAAATTTAAATATTACAACAATACTAATAATCTAGTAAATAGGTCCCGGAAGCTCCAAAATCTTCAAATCCAAACAAGTTTTTCATAATCAAAGATAGTTATTCTTGACTTTCTTGACATCTTATTCGTATGATTCTTTCTTGTTGAGAACGAATGTACTTATGAGTATTAATATCACTGATTAGCAATATTTTTTTTCTCTTTTACTTCTTTTAAAGCTAACTTTTTTTGTTTCATTTTTCATTTGTAATTCAATCATCTCATGGAATAATGTGGTATTTTGCTTATAGTTTAATATTTAATTATTTATTACTATTTCTATTTTTATATTTAATGTAAAATTTTATTAATTAATATTGATGTAATATTTTTATATATGTGTTAGTTTTTATAAAAAAAAATTCTGAATTTCTATTAATTGTGACAAATATAAAGACTATAAAGTAATATACAAATAGTTTTGAATTTTTTCTTTTGGAGAAGATCACTTTGAAACTTCAAATATAGAGTTTGTGAAACTCCAAAATAAAGTTTCTTTTTGGACTCTAAGAGTGTGATTGTTTGACACATTTATTAACTATAATTTTTTAGCTGAAAACATATTTACTCCATTTCCAGCTAAAACTACACTAATCAAATGGAAAAGCTTTTTAAATATTTTACTCTAGTTACTGTATATTTGGTGGTAAAAGCATTTGTTTTGTACAAGGAAGAAAGTTGCGTCCAATTTTACTTTTTGTTTTTGTTTTATTAGTTTTTTACTTTAAATATTTTACTTTTAATCCCTCTATACTTTGTTACGCTAGATTACGTATTTCCCTTCCCAGTCACACCCTAAATGTTTACCAATAAAACAACGATTTTTTTTTGTCAATTAAAACAACGAAAATAACATGAGATTAATCAAACGTTTCTTCTTATAATTTTTTCTGTATCGAACATCTTTAATATCGTTGTGTGTTACAAAATTATGTTTACTCTGCAGTTTATCTTTATTTTTACTTGTAACTCATATTCTGTTCATTTTTTAGCCTAATTTAAAATTTTCATTTTGATTGTTATTGGGTCATTTGATTACTTTCAGAAAGAATAAAAACGACATTAATTGGTTGAAGAATAATAGTTTATTGATGATTACAATAGTATAGTTACTTACTGGTGAGTTTTGTATAGTGATGAATAGTCATAGTTTTAGACCAAAATAAGTCTCCTAAAATCTATTTTATTTGCCACTTCCACTTTAAAAAACGCTTTAAACTCAAAACGATACATATTTCTGCTAATTTCAAATTATATTTTATCAACAAATAATTAATCACCAAAAATACTATTCAAGACTTCATTTCTTCTCTCATCGGTTATAAATAAACCGGACAAGTATACACAAGACAAAGACACCAACAATCTCAACTGTCTCATTACACAATGCTACGAACCTTTCTCTCTGTCGTTTTCTTCCTTCTCTTCCTCTCTCTACCTCTCTGCTCATTCTCTAAACCATCACACTCACATAACGTCTTCAACTCATTCCTCAAATGCTTCTCCAAGAAAACAAAAACCCCACAACCCCAAATCGCCAAGAACGTCTTCTCTCCGACCAACCCTTCTTACTCCGCAGTCCTCCGTGCTTACATCCGAAACGCAAGATTCAACACTTCATCCACTCCCAAACCAACCATCATCGTCACTCCTCGCTCATATAGCCACGTCAGCGCCGCCGTCCTCTGCTCAAAACCTCTAAACTTCGTATTCAAGATCAGAAGCGGGGGCCACGACTACGATGGTCTCTCTTACATCTCCGACAAACCCTTTTTCATCCTCGACATGTCGAACATTCGCGACGTCTCCGTCGACATCGCTGATCAAACGGCGTGGATCTCCGCCGGAGCCACTCTCGGCGAGGTTTATTATAGTATCTGGGAGAAAAGCAAGGTCCATGGTTTCCCCGCCGGAGTTTGTCCGACGGTTGGTGTCGGTGGTCACTTGAGCGGCGGTGGGTACGGTAACATGGTGAGGAAGTTCGGTTTATCAGTCGATCACGTGATAGACGCGAAGATCGTCAACGTGAAGGGTCGTGTTTTAGACAGGAAAGCGATGGGTGAGGATCTTTTTTGGGCTATCTCCGGCGGAGGAGGAGGCAGTTTCGGCGTCGTTTTGGGTTACAAGGTCAAGCTCCTTCCAGTGCCACCGGTGGTGACGGTGTTTCGAGTGGAGAAGTATATGGACTCCGGGGCGGTGGACATGGTTCACAAGTGGCAGTCCGTTGGTCCGAAAACCGACAGGAACCTCTTCATGAGAATGCTGATTAGACCGGTTACGAGGAATAAGGTGAACACGGTTAGAGCTACAGTGGTTGCTCTGTTCTTAGGTAAAGCAGACGACGTCATTTCGCTGCTTAGTAAGGAGCTTCCTGAGTTGGCGTTACAGAAGGAGAACTGTACGGAGATGACTTGGTTTCAGTCTGCGTTATGGTGGGACAATCGCGTTAACGCTACTCAGACTGATCCTAAAGTGTTTCTTGATCGGAATCTTGATTCCTCTAGCTTCGGGAAGAGGAAGTCTGATTACGTGGCCACCGAGATTCCTAGAGATGGGATTGAGTCTCTGTTCAAGAAGATGATTGAGTTAGGGAAGATAGGGCTTGTTTTCAATCCTTACGGTGGGAGAATGGCGGAGATTGCGGAGAACGCAACGCCATTTCCGCACCGGAATAAGCTGTTCAAGATTCAGTACTCTGTTAACTGGAAAGAGTCATCTCCAGAGATAGAGAAAGGTTTCTTGAATGAGGCTAAAGAGCTTCACAGTTTCATGACCAAGTTTGTGAGCAAAAGCCCTAGAAGTGCTTACTTGAACTACCGAGATGTCGATATTGGGGTGAATGATCACGGGAAGAATAGTTATAAACAAGGAGAGGTGTATGGAAGGATGTATTTTGGAAAGAACTTTGATCGATTGGTGAAGATTAAAACCGCAGTTGATCCTGGGAACTTCTTTAGGAATGAACAGAGTATACCTACCTTGCGACGTAAGGCATAAGAGATGTTGTTTATCATTTGATATAAGGATTGGTTTTAATGTAATGACTTGGTAAAGCAGTATAAAGTGTATTAGGTAGAGATCCGCGCGGGATGAGAGTATGGAAAAATAACTAAATTTTCTTTACATTTTTGTTCATGATTTCCACATCCTTCTATATGTTTAAAATGAGCAAACAATGCTCTGTTTAGTGAGCTGCAAAATGAAGTGCGACACGTGCTGCCTTATTCAGGAGTGAATTCTACATCTTGTATATGAACTTCATTGTTCTCAGCACCCAGACGTAGACTTGCCCATCGCCTTCGGAGTTCAACAGCTGCTTCACATCATCACTGAATGGCAAGGTAAGACCCTCACCTTGAGGAAAATTTATATAAAGTATCTATATACATAAATGATTAATAACTCCAAATTTTTTTTTGTCACAGTATGAAATCAAAAAAAAAATCAATTTCGTAATAATTATTTGAGTAAACCTAAAATATGCATTTTTCATGCATATCTTATTGAAAATGGAATTGAAAGAAGCCATTGAACAACAAAGCATTTCTAAACGTAGGAAATTATTTTGCAATAACAAGGAATCCCCATTATATTATTTTAGAAACATTATTAAAAACTAATCTTATGTTCATGTGTCAATAACAATACTGTCATTCCTAGGTGTCAACACAATATTTATTCTCAGCCCCTTTAACTAAAAACCTTTATGTTACTAGACTAATTACATATATTTTCATTGTCTATGAAATTGTAACTTACCATAAAATACTACATGAACCTTATAAAATATATATAATGATACAAACATATATTGTAAGTTTGTAACGATACATATTATAGCATATATTAACATAAAATACTGTATGTTTCATATAAAATATATATAAGGATACAAAAATATTATATTAAAATATATATTGTAATATATATATATATATAAACATAATATCATTTAATTTTTTAATTGAATATAAAATTTATAAAAAGAAGTTCTGATCATTGGCATATAATAATTGATTAAAAATTATTTTTACTTATTTTGGACTACTTTTAACTATTTTTACAAAGGTTTAACTATTTTTAAATTACTTGTACAATAATATGGATTGTTTATATTTATAATCGAATATTCATTTTAATATATCTAATTGTTTCCTAATATATATATATAAACATAATATCATTTAATTTTTAAATTGAATATAAAATTTATAAAAAGAAGTTCTGATCATTGGCATATAATAATTGATTAAAAATTATTTTTACTTATTTTGGACTACTTTTAACTATTTTTACAAAGGTTTAACTATTTTTAAATTACTTGTACAATAATATGGATTGTTTATATTTATAATTGAATATTCATTTTAATATATCTAATTGTTGCCTAATATATATGTATATATATATCATAACTTACTTGTAAAGTTATGTTTAATGTTAATAATGGAATATTTCTTTTCTGATGTATCTAAATTTTTCCATATGACCTATATATAATCAAAATATTTAAAATATTGTATAGTTGGGAAACGATTTCGTGTTAAGAATATTTTACTCAAACATTTCGACAGAAAGTTTAATATAGTACATGTATTAATATTTGATTCCAACATGTAAACTATTTGAATATGATGTTTATAAAATTTATAAAATATGATAAATATTTAAAATATTAACTAATAAATATTTCAATAAGATTTTTATATATAAAAGTGAAAATATATATCAGGCTCTAATGAGGTATTATTTCTCCAACTACTGCACTATAATTGGTTGTGTTTTCCTTTCTATTCAAATTTTAATTAATTTTCTTAGTATTAAATATACAAGGATACTCTATTTAGAAGTTAAACCACTTATTATGCTCTTATGTAGCTTCCTCTTACTAATTTTTTTTCTCATCTAATGTGTTCTTAATGTCTTCAATATCTTCATACACCCTTTACCACTAAATTAAGATATCTCATCCTTGTACATAATTTTGTAACCAATGATTAGAAAAATACTCATAATCAGTACACGAAAAAAATATATAACTTTTTAAANGTTAAACCACTTATTATGCTCTTATGTAGCTTCCTCTTACTAATTTTTTTTCTCATCTAATGTGTTCTTAATGTCTTCAATATCTTCATACACCCTTTACCACTAAATTAAGATATCTCATCCTTGTACATAATTTTGTAACCAATGATTAGAAAAATACTCATAATCAGTACACGAAAAAAATATATAACTTTTTAAATCTTCATGTAGGGGGCGTATTTAATCTAAAGTTTGAGGTGTTCGTTTTTAATAATATTTTAGATGATTTCAAATGAATTTTAAAGTTTAAAATATTTTTGTTAAACCATTCTATAATATCACATAACAGTGAATTTCAAAATACTTTTTGAAATGTCTTGCTGAAGAACAGTATATTTAAATGAGTTTTTACCATTTATGTTAGAGTAACAATGGATTTATCATTTTGTTACAAATCACCTAAAAGACTAAAAATCTGAGTTGAATACACCCCAGCCCCATAATCTCTTTATTTATCCCTTTTACTTCTCTTAGTTATTAAATTTCAACTTCTACATTTTTATTTTGTCGTTTATCTTGATCAGAAATATATATTTATTTTAATAACATTTAGATATTTAATATTTCATGTTTTTCTTCAGTTGATACTTTACTTCAGATTTTCTTAATGCAATCTTTGTAGAGCATTATCTCACATGAATGATCATGTCTCAATTTTCAGTACAAATTTAAAAACTCTCATCAAACATCCAGTTCTTTAGCTTGTATTTATATAGTATTTAATTATTCTAGAGGTATCATGAATTTATAGAAAAATTCAAACTAATCCCAAATAGGAGGCGCTTCCATGTTTAGACCCTCTATTTGAATATGCAAATAGGTCGTAAGTTGGGGATCATATCTACATAGGTGTCTATGAACAATGATACTTAGTTTTGTGTTGTAGGTGGATCAAATTTGAAACGTGTTGGTACATCTCAAGCTCGTCCCTTTACCACTTGACCACAAGGTTCTGGACCTTTAGCTTGTAATTATCATGCCGTATTTCTATTTTATTTTCTTCCTCATATAAATCATCTATAATATCACCTAAAATCATGATATTTAGGTTTTAATTTTTTAACTAAGAAACTTCACAAAAATACTAAAATCACATAAAAACTTTAAAACTCAAAAACTTCAAATATTTTCAATAAAAATGAATTTCAAAATACTTTTTAAAATGTCTAGTTCAATAGCAGCATATTTTAATGAGTTTTTACCATTTATGTTTGAGTAACAGTGGATTTATCATTTTGATACAAATCACCTAAAAGACTAAAAATCTCAGTTGAATACACCCCCGCCCTCTTTATTTCTCCTTTTTACTTCTCTAAGTTTTTAAATTTCAACTTCTACATTTTTATTTTGTTGTTTATCTTAATCAGAATTATATATTTATTTTAATAACATTTAGATATTTAATATTTCATGTTTTTCTTCAGTTGATATTTTAAATCAGATTTTCTTAATGCAATCTTTGTAGAGCATTATCTCTCATGAATGATCATGTCTCTATTTTCAGAACAAATTTAAAAACTCTCATCAAACATCCAGTTCTTTAGCTTGTATTTATATAGTTTTTAATTATTCTAGAGGTATCATGAATTTATAGAAAAATTCAGACTAATCCCAAATAGGAGGCGCTTCCATGTTTAGACCCTCTATTTGAATATGCAAATAGGTCGTAAGTTGGGGATCATATCTACATAGGTGTGTATGAACAATGATACTTAGTTTTGTGCTGCAGGTGGATCAAATTTGAAAAGTGTTGGTACATCTCAAGCTCGTCCATTTACCACTTGACCACAAAGTTCTTGACCTTAGCTTGTAATTATCATGTCGTATTTCTATTTTTTTATTCTTCATATAAATCATCTTCTTATGTATCTTCATATTCATTATATTTTATATATTTTCTTCTTCTTGTTTTATTTATTTTTATATTTTAAATATGTTGCTAATGTATTCACTATTTGTTTACCTCCTTTATCCCCAACAATAAATTATCTTATATATCACCTCTTTTAACTTAGATGCGAAATATTTAATTGCAAAGTTTCTATTAATTTTTGTTGGCTTTCCAAAGCACTTTTTTCTCTCAAACACACACAATTTTATTTAATAATTAACTATAAATAAATAGATCCATTTAAAATCCTTCAGAATCTATATTATTAAAACTGAAGTACCTTTTAGTTCTGTTTGGAAATAAGGATAGTAGGATTAATGAGAATATTTTGGAAACATGGATAGCATATTAAGTATTTCTTCTTATTTGCATATTTAGCCATTCCATTTACAATAAATTAAATATCTTCCTTTTGTATATTTTTTATTTATAGATACTTCCATTACATTTAAAATCAATATAAATTAATTAATCACAATGATTTTTCTTTCTTTTGGGTGAAGATAAAAACACAAACTTAATAAATAGTATATATTATACAAAATAATTTTTAAATATAGTATTACCTTATTTAATTTAGTCAAATATAAAATTTGAAGAGTTCAATTTTCAAGAAAAAAAATCATAAAATTAATGATAAGTCATAGAAAACTAATGCAAAAAATAATTTTTAGTATGTTATTTCATTTTAAAATAAATTAAAAAAAAAACATGTTAATATATGAATAGTATAATTATATCAAATTGCTTCAAGTTATAAAATTTCTAATATAATTTTATGTACAAATAAAAAACTATTATTAAACATTTATATTATAAAATAATATATTCTATTCTATATGTAAATTACAAAACATAAAATTATATTATTTTTTTATAGATCTAGCAGTATATGAATTTATGTTGAACATAAGTTAAATCAAACACCCGCACGGGGGTGCCGGTCAAGTTCTAGTTATCATATTATTTTATCTACCACGTCATTTTTTTTTTGTATGTGAAATAGTTTTAGGTTGAAAAGTTTTCATAAGTTTTTTCAAATATCTAAAAAACATTATTTCACTTCAGTGATTTACCAAAAAATCACAATAAATTAACCAAAAAAATCAGCCTTAAAAACCCACTTAATTATAGTATTATCTTAACTAACATCATATTTAACTTAGATAAGAACAAAATTAATATTGCAAAGTTTCTACAAGTTTTTTTGTCGTATCTCTAAAGTTTGCATATTCCTCGACCACCATATGTGTCAATGACATATCTTTAAATTATCACATATATTAATGAAATTACTTGTAAAAACATCACAATACCTTATCTATTTTTTTTCAATTTAAATGCATACCATTTTTGAAT